TTGAAAGGCCCGAGTCCATTAAGGACATCAAAAAATCCAAAATTAACGACGTGGGCGCTTTAATTGGTTCTACACCCCTCTCCTGGACAAATTTTGTGAACCGTGTCCATTTATAAGTGTACGATCTCTTTGTTGATCGCCTATGAGCAGCGTCTAAAACTGCTTGTACTGGTTGAGACAGAATAATATTAGCAGTCATTGACTTGGAAATATTCTCCAAGCCGTCAGTTTCAAGTTCTGAACATCTGGGTAAAGAACCAAATTGTTCTGCGTTGATAGAAGGTCTTTCCTGTCTGGAAGACGCATGAATACTCTTCGTGACATTTGCAGGAGCAGGGAAAACCAGGGCTGTCGAGGCCACCATGGGGCTACTAAGATTCCTTGAGCTCTGTCTTGGAACATTTTCGACACCACACGAAGCAGCAGGGGAATTGGGGGAAAGGCATAAACTGTTGTGCTCCCCCAGTCCTGCAGGAACGCATCTCCCAGACAATTGCACAGTGCAGTCCGGCTCAGCCGTGCACAAAACATCTCGCATTGTGCGTTCTCTGGTGATGCAAATAGGTCTAATTTCGGCCAGCCCCATGCTCGAAACAGAAGCGATGTCACTTCTCTGTTCAGCATCCATTCGTGGTGTTGTAAAGGTGACCTGCTTAGGTCGTCTGCCAGTACATTTTGTACCCCTGGCAGATGAATGGCCATTAAATGTATGCCTCTGTCTATGCACCAATGCCATATCTTCAACGTTAACGCCAGTAATGTTGTGGAATGAGTCCCTCCCTGCTTGTTTATATAAAACATTACTGTGGTATTGTCTGTAACTAGTTGGACATTTTGATTTACGAGAAGCAGCTGGAATGCTTTTAACGCTCTCTCCACAGCAAGTAACTCCAACAGATTTATGTGTGACCTTGACTCTTGCTCTGTCCACCTGCCCTGGGCAGTAAAGCCCTCCACATGGGCACCCCAACCTTTGAGTGAGGAATCTGTTGTCAGAACTGCCGTCGGTTCTGGTTGTTGAAAAGATAGGCCAGCACAGACATTGTGTTGATCTGTCCACCACAGCAGGGATCGGCGAATATCCCCAGGTAGGGAAAAACGGGTATTGGGATTGTGATGTAAGGGCTTGAAAACCGACAGGAACCATGATTGCAGGGGCCTGATGTGCAACCTCGCATGTGGTGTTACTCCTGTGGTTGAGGCCATGTGACCTAGTATTTTCTGGATGTGTTTTACTTTTATTCTGTCTTGTTTTACTGTTTGTAGAATTAGAGTTTGTAGGTTCTTGAACCGGTCTTCGGGAAGAAACGCCTTCTGCACTTCTGAATCCAGCATGGCACCAATGAATTGTATTCTCCTCGCCGGGTCGAGGTGGGATTTTTCCCAATTCACAATTAGACCTAGGGACTGGAGAAAATACAATGTTTTTCTAATGTCGTTTTCCAATCTATACCTAGACTTAGCCACCAATAACCAATCATCAATATACGGGTATATCGTTATTCCAGCTGTGCGGAGATATGCCGCTATCACAGCCATACACTTTGTGAAAACCCGTGGTGCTGTTGTTAGTCCGAAGGGAAGCACTTTAAACTGGTATGCCTGGTTGTCAACCTTAAAAGTCAGATATCTATGATGGTCTTTATTAATTGAAATATGGAAATAAGCGTCCTTCAAGTCTACTGTTGCAAACCAAACATTTTTATTTAATAAAGGTAAGAGTACTTTCAATGAAACCATTCTGAACTTCTTGGGGACAATATACTTATTAACGTTACGTAAATCGAGAATGGGGCGTTGACCACCACCTTTCTTAGACACTAAGAAATATCTTGAAAAATAGCATCTATTATATTCAGATGGATGTACATAGGAAATCGCCCCTTTCTCCAATAACTTACTAATCTCATCTAACAGTGGGCCAGAGGACGGAGTCGACCTCACATGACCAACAGGAGGCAGCTTTTCAAACTCAATACTATAACCGTTTCTAATTATTTCTAAAACCCAGGCATCTGAAGTAATATTAGTCCAAACATCATAAAAAGGGGTCAAACGTGACCCAAAACATGGTAAATCCTGTTGACCTAGATTACAGGTCTGCTTAGGAGAACATGCAACATTTGGTAATACACCAAGTGGCGAACAAACATTAACCAAAGATATAAATCCCTTTGGCAATACGGTTTCTGATATATCATGAGAGCGAATGTCAAAAACGCTGCTTGTTGCCCCCTGTACGGTTAGGTTTGTTCTGGTAAGGTTGGAAGCAATTCTTCGTTCCATAGACTTGTCTTCCCTGTGTAAAGGGTTTGTTATTTTGGAAGTTTCGTTGACGTTGTTGCCCATTATAGTAGTTACCAGGGTATCTCCTGTAATAAGGTTGTTGCCATCTTGGTTTTTGTTGGTAACTTGATTGACGTGGAAAACCATAGATCTGCATGGTTTTTTTCATTTCCTGAGTATGTTTAAGTCTCTCATCTGTTAACGGATTAAACAGACCATTCTCATTCATTGGGAGATCCTCAGCAAGAGTGCGCCCATCCTCCGACAAGGATGACGCTCGTAACCAGGCATGACGTCTGATCGCTGTTGCGGTCGCAAATATTTTTCCTGATGTGTCTGCTAAATGTTTAGCGAAATCCTTTTGAAATTTCGCCAACAACAATGCCTCTGTTTGGTAGGCTTTCGGCAGGCGTCGCTCATTCTGAGGTAGCAAGTCTATATAGGGGCACATTTTGTTCCATAAAAACGTTTGATAAGCAGACATATAAGTGGCATAATGTGCCATCCTTGTAATTAGTCCTGCGGCTATATGAGCCTTCTTTCCCAATGTATCTATCTTTCTACCTTCTTTGTCAGAAGGCGCAGTTTTTTTAGATTTCTTTCCTTGGCCAACCTCTGCTACAACCGTGTTGGGTATAAATGGTTTGTAAACCCAATCAGCAGTAGATAGATCCAGTCTGTAAAGGTTATCCACTCTCCTAGGTATAGCTGGTGCTGACACTGGAGACCCTTCTGGTACCTTTGTAAGTTTAAGGAGATATGGCAATACTGGTAGTGTGGTATTATTCGTTGCCTCTTGCTGATCTGCCGGGAACATAGGATCTTCTACTGGTTCCGGTGGTTTTGGGTTAGGAAGATCTAGCGCTTTAATTAGTCTAGTTAACATCGCTGTAAATTTAACAACATCATCATTAACATTAGACGCAGGACCTTTCCGTCTTGCGTCATCATGTGTTGTTAATTCATCATGAGATGTATCTGTCATGTCCATCTGCTCCGATAAAGGAGCTTCATTGTGATCATCTTGCTCTGACAGCGGTTCATCTAGCAATGCCACATCACCTGATATTGAAGGTAAATGCCCGTGTGCCCTTGTAACCCTGGGCTCATGAGGTCTCATATCAAACCCATTTGGAATGTTGGGATTTTGCCAGTGATAAGGAGGTGGGAAACCTCCATAAAAGATAGGGCCTTGTGGTGTCATTTGCCAGAAACCCCCTTGAGGGAGCCCTTCTCTCATCTCTCTTCGTGAGCTAGAAGGTGAATGGGAGCAACACCTCACTTCTTTGTCAGTTTGTGTCCTGTTTCGTCTACTCCTTCCCCTTTGGCATCTCTTCTTTGCTCTGGGAGGGGAGGAGTCAGAGGAGGAACCTGAAGAGGTGCTGGAGGTACTCTTCGACGCCGAGCGTTCCCGGCGCCGATGTCCTCCTAACTTCTCTCCCCCGGCGTCGGTTGCGCGGCGTGAGGGGGCTTTCGCCCGGCTCCGCACAATGCGATCATCCTCCCTAGCCGAGGAGGGGCCGGGTGCATGGGAGGAGTCAGTGGGAGGAGCTTGGTACGGCTCCTCCCTTGAAGCCGCGACGTAGACCATGGAAGGAGCCGGCGCCGATAGCGTCGGCATCGGGGGAGTGGTTTGGCTCTCCCTCGCCTCTTGCGCATGCGCCGTTCGTTGTTTTGCCGATCCCGGCTCCGCCTCTCTCAGGGACGCATGCGAGGGAGTGGATCCTTCTCCCATGGACGTCTCCTTGGCGCTCGCTGGCTGTTTCGGCTCAGCATGAGCGATTATCTTCTTGGCCGGATTAAGCAGTAGGCTTGGGGCCTTTTCTTTAGTTTTTTTAGTTTTCTTTGGCCGCGCCATTGTTACAGCGGAAGACGATGACTCAGGTAAGTTCTTTTCGTTTGCTGTGCTCTCATCGCCATTTTGCCGCTTCGTAGGCAATGGCGGAAGAAGCGCCTGCTCATAAAGAGCTGCTTTAAGGCGAATCTCCCTCTTCTTCCTCGTTTGAGGCGTGAAGAGTTGGCAAATATTACATTGTTGATGCATGTGCTCTTCGCCAAGGCAAACAATGCAAAGAGAATGCGCGTCATTATCTGGGAAATTAGATTGGCAAGCCGTACAGCGTTTAAATCCTGTCGTATGAGACATCCTCAGTTGTTAATCTCACAAACACTTCTCTATTAATTGAAGCTTAGAGTCTCAATTTATCCGACTGCCTGAATGCGGCGGTTAAAGAGAACTGACCGTTAGCTCCACTTGGGGCTATTTATGTACTCGGAGGTGGGCGTGGCTTAGCTAACGGTTTATGAGAGTCTCGAGAATGTCCGATGCTGCCTGCGCATGCGCAGGAATTACCATAGGTGCAAATCACAGGTGGTCACGAGGGGAAAACTAGACTTGTGATTTTATCGTATATTTGTATACTTGAAAACTTAATAAAAATTATTCTTTAAAAAACTACGTAAAACAAACCTTTAGGTATGCACTTACATTATAAAAAAATAAAAAATTCTGATTCATACAATGGGTTTTATTAAGTTTTGAAAAAAGGAAGTTATGCTGCCTCACCCTGTAGCTCTCCCACAACCTTATGCATTTTGTACCATTAAAAATTGACTTTTTCAAAAAACCCAGGCAACACCAGGAAGCCACACTAGTTTTAAATATAATCTGTGAGTAATCAGAGTCACAAAAAAGTCAAAACAGGACAGCACACTCTCATTGACAGAGGGTTTATTCACAGCCTTAACATGTTATTGTATCTACATGACATACAAACGGTATAGAATTGGATCTTACAAAATAGGCTGCTGACAAATAAAATGGTAGAAATCGAATAGCAAGCCCCCCAGACACAGTTATGTACAGTTATGTACATTGCAATTTATCTTTTTTGGAGGGAGTGTGGCAACTTATCTCAAGCAACATTTTAAAGTAATATATATATATATATTTAAAAGGGGTGAATGCGCAGGCAACTAAAAAAAGGCACTCGGAAGTGTACGGGTTCCTGAATGGAATCAGGATGGAGATACGCCCAAAGGTAATTGATGCTTAAAGGCCCTCTCGTATTTGGCTCTGGGCAAAACTTGAAGGCAAAATGATATGCCAATGTTGTGTGCTTCTCATGCACACAAGACACATCATGGAGAGAGATATGAGTCTTTTATGAAGGCATTTCTCAAGGATCTTGGTCCCAATACAAGGTTTTCCTTCCAACATTCCTCTCCAGAGAAGGGAACAAAGAACCCAGACCTTGCGAAGCCTCCTGTGCCTTTCCAAAATAGGAATCCGGAACAGAACACCAATAGCTCTTTGCGCAATATGGCTGAGCCTTAGCAAACAGAATGCGATTGTTTCTAATACAGTTTTCAGGCTTTTTTAAGTGTCAGGACTTGGCAAACCTCGCTGCAGAGGAGGTAGATGCTTTTAATGGCATGCAAAAACTATAATCCCAAATGAAGAGCCTTCCCCCATATTGAGCGACCTCTGCTTTTACGTCCTGCTTCTGTGCATTCCAAACAACGAATTTTAAAAAAACCAACACATTCCAATGTATCCTCTGCTCACAAAATATACATCTCAAAACTAAAACAGAATATGTTACACCAGGGATTCAGTTCACCTACTGAATGAGTAACACAAAAAAGGGGGGAGGGAATGAAGGAGGAGGAATGATCATTTGACAATTAAGCTAACACATATCCTCGACTTTATAGATAGGCTTTCCACATTTCAAGCACAGGTCCAATTTAGCTTTGCTCAAGTTAAATTCTCTCTCTAAGAGGCAAGAAAGACAAACTGTTCTCTAATATAGTCTTCCCAACTTTTCAGAATTCCAGAGGCTCATCCCAATCCTTTTTGATATGCAAAGGAATGTTGAAATGGGGGAGACGTGGGAGTTTCATTTTTCTCTGCTACACTGAGTTAAATGGGCCTTTGGAGTCTCTTCCCCCCCTCCCCATCCTTTGGATTTAAAGCTGTCTGGAAAGGAAGACCCAAAGGAGACTGGCCTCAAGTTTCAGGGTTTTCCGGCAACTCCTCATTCTCCCTCCTCTTCTCTGGAGAAGTGTACAGAAAGTTGCAGCAAATATAGAGAGGGAAGGTCAGCAGCCGGCTGTCCAGGTTCATCACCACCTGCTCCTGAAAAGCCAACAGACAGGACTCTTTTATGGCTTGCCAAAGCCACTCTCTTAAGCCAGGATGGTGCAGCTTCAGAGAGGCTGCTTGGCCATAATGAGTTCACAGTTTAATCTCCAGCTCTGCTAAGGTTTGTGAGAGGAAACATTACATTAGCTTTTCCCCCTTTGAAGGCTGTCTACTAGGCTGGTGAAAAAGTTTGGATTAGTCTTAATTCGGATTAAGATTAGTAAAACCTGTACTTCCAAAGTGATTTCCAACATGTGGGCATGGTCTGGGCTAAAATCTTGTCTCCCGCATATGTCATCAGTTGGGGACCCCTCCCCTCAGCACCAACTGCCGCTCTGAGCCAGAGTGAAGAGAAAGGGGGACAGTTCCATCTTGTCTCCTGTGTTATGCTAATAATATAATATAATGCAATGTAATATATTGTATATACATATACTATATATTTTAGAATACAAGGCGACGGGGGGTATAAGACAACCCCCCTCTTCCAAGACTATGGCCCCCGCCGCTCTCCATTCAAGGACCTCCTCGCCCTTGCTGCTTACCTCCTCCGAAGGCCACTGGGCTTGCCTAGGCCCAAGGAAGTGCCTCTGGACGCCAACTCCTAGCAGCACTGGATGACAGCGTGCCTTGGATGTGCTCCCAGAGGCATACTGGGAGCAGTAGGAGTGAGGGAACTACTGCTCCCAGCATGCCTCTGGGAGCACATCCAAGGCACACCATCGCCCAGTGCTGCTAGGAGTCATCCGGAGACGCTTCCTTGGGCTTCCAGACATCAACTCCTAGCAGCGCTGGGTGACGGCATGCCTTGGATGTGCTCCCAGAGGCATGCTGGGAGCTGTAGTTCCCTGACTCCTACTGCTCCCAGCATGCCTCTGGGAGCACATCCAAGACACACTGTTACACAGCACTGCTAGGAGTCATCTGGAGACACTTCCTTGTGCTTCCGTACACTGACTCCTAGCAGCGCTGGGCAACAGCGTGCCTTGGAGTGCCTCCAGAGGCACTTCCTTGGGCCTAGGCAAGCCTTCGGAAGAGTTAAGCGACGAGGGCAGAGGAGGTCCTTGAATGGAGGGAAAGGGAAAGCCCAGCAGGCTATCACCCCAGCTAGTCTCTGTGGCAATGCAGCCTGCTACTCCTCCTCCCCATGCCCTCCCTTGGCCTGTTTTCCTTCCTGCTGCCTCCAAATGAAACCAAATCTTTGAAGGAAGAACAATCACCCCCTTTTTACGCGTTGCCACCTGGAAGGAAACAAAGCGAACATACCTGATCTTTCTCAAGGGTCAGAATCTGATATCCCACTGTTCTGCTGCCAATAAGCTTCCCACTGCTGTCGAATGAGGCCAGGCGCAACCTAAAGACAGTGGGAAGTTTCATTGGATTTCCCCCGCTTGGGGCCAAGGGATGGAAAACAAAAGAGGAACAGCAGGTTGGGAGGTGAGAGGGGGAAAGGGTTGAAATAAAATATTCCATGCTGCCAACAAATCCTTGCCTCTCCTTCAAAATTTCATGTAGGTTGTTTCAAATGATGAACTCAAGAGACAAAAATAAAGTAGACTTGAATAAAAATAATACAATATATGTGGTTTACTCACAACTTACATGTGTTCACCATACACAGGTACACAATTTATCAGTCCAGTTTCAACATGTGGACAAGCATGTAGACAATTTCAACAGAAAGGAGGAGTCATAGAATCATAGAATTGGAAGAGACCTCATGGGCCATCCAGTCCAACCCCATTCTGCTAAGAAGCAGAGAAATCACACTCAAAGCACCCCTGACAGATGGCCATCCAGCCTCTGTTTAAAGTCTTAAAAGGAGCCTCCACTACACTCTGGGGAAGAGACCATGAAAAGAAACACAATCTGGCTACCAGTATTTTAAAAAATCTAAAATCAAGACAAAAATAAAGAGCAACATTCAGAAAACAGGGGAATTCCAGACAGGATACAATCAGGGCCAGCTATCACCTCCCAAAAAACAATTTTGCCCAGGTAGCAACCAGCCAGGCTTTGAAGCTGCAAGGCCGTTAAATGCTAATCTAGGTGGCCATTTGCAACATTCACACTTGCCTCCAACAGACAAGAAATCTTTCTCCCACCTTGGACATTATTCCACAGGTATATACACTTCACTTGCATAGTATCCAACAGATCTCACCACCTCTGAGGATGCCTGCCATAGATGTGGGCGAAACGTCAGGACAGAATGCTTCTGGGACATGGCCATACAGCCCGGAAAACTCACAGCAATCCACACATTAGAGAAGTTTGTAATGTCTGAGAGTCATTTAGCTTCTGATGGCTGCCATACCACAGCTATACTGAACATGTGCACCAGTTAACCAATCTGGCAAAATACACACATGCACAAACATAGTGGAAGGGATGGGGGAAATTCAAAGTTCTTTTCACCCTCATTTGTTTTGTCTTCTTTGTGAGTATTTGGACCCCACAGTCTTTGCCACTGAAACTACAAGAGGCGGGATGCCTGGAAATATCTTCCTTTATTTTTTATTTTATATATATTTAATATTTTTATATATTTTATATATATTTAAGGTCTTCAGTCTGAGAAGGAGCCAAGGGGATGTTCAGCCATTCCTTCCACAACATTCATTACGATCAAGGCTAGCTCTGGCTCAGAGTGAAGTGCCAGAATATTCCCAAAATACTGTTCAATGGCATGAGGGAAGTGCGTCCACACAACACACAGCTGGGGAGCAAGGAGAAGACCTGCTACCCCCCCACCCAACCCACACAGACAGGTAGCTGCTGACATTAAAATAAAAACTCTCCTGCTCTTAAAAACTCTCCTTGAATGAGGGACACTTATAACTGGAAAGAGGTGGGACCTGGCCCAAGTCGCTCATGCTGGGGCAGCACAGTGGGAACACAAGTGGGAGAGGGGATGTACGTACATATGTATAGTCCCACAAACCTGAAAGCGATTCTCCTCCGGGGCTGCAGGCTGACCGACCCGCTGCAGGGCTGGTTCAGGGTGTTGCGCTTGAAGATGATGTAGCGGTTGGTGTAGGTCACCAGCAGGTCAAAGCCAAAGGTGAAGCCTGTCCATCGCCAGCAATACTTGGAAATACACAAAGATGTCCGTTTCTGTAACGCACTCTTCCAGGTGGTCCCTGGCCTACTTTAACTGTTCAAATGGCCAGGTCCACCCAGGAAATCTGACAACTGCTCTGTGCACAAAAACACAACTTGCCCCACATCTTTTTCAGTCAATAGTTTGCCAGGCTTTAGCACAGTAGATTAATCACAAAGCTGCAATAAATCTTGCCAACCAGAAGGTTAACAGTTCCAAGCCTGGGTCAGGGTTATTGCCTGACCATCTGCCCAGCTTATGCCAACCTAGCAGTTCAAAAACAAATATGAGTAGATACATAGGAACCGCATTAAGGCGGGGAGGTATTCTAGGCATGGCTTTTAGAACAGAAAAAGGAGGAAGTTTACAAATTAATAAAAGTTCTTTGGAAAGAAAATGGAGCGACAGCACCCCCCTGTGGCCATAACCGAGCACAACCTCCAAAGATGCCAAAAGATGGGAAAAGCCTAGCTATATAAATAAAAATGTAATCTTCATTTGTGGGATTAACATAACTCAAAAACCACTGGATGAATTGACACCAAATTTGGTCACAATACCCGTATCAGGCCAACAAGTGACCATCACTCATAAAAACACTGAAAAACACAGCAGAAGGGACTTAAAAAGCCAAAACATAAAAAATACATTACAACGTATGCACAAAACCACATATTTATACGCAAACACACATATATATATACACATATACACAAATACATACACACAAAGCACATATACACAGACTGGGCCACAGCAAAATGTGACAGGGGACAGCTAGTGTGTGTGTGTGTGTGTGTATACATACACACACACGCACCCTCTCTATCTGTTGTCTACCCTATCTGTTTAATGGCATTGAATGTTTGCCATTCGGGGTGAGAAAGGCAGAATAAATACAGTACATAAATAAATAAACTACAAATGGATGACAGATTACATAGGTAAAGATCAGTGCTTACGTCCCCGTCCTTGGCCAGTTTTCTGCCGCACCGCATGCTGTTTTCCTCGAGCTCCTCCTTGTTAATTTTTTGCGGCCTGAAACACACAAAAGAGCCTCCAATAAAATGGCATTTTGGTCAAAAGGGCATGAAAAGCAGCCTGTCAGACTGAATGCAAAGCCAGCTAACCAAATGGCAGTATTTTGATGGGTTAAACCTTCTACCAAACACTTTGCTTTAACCCCCTTGTTTATTTTTTGCATTCTTCATTCACTTTGTGAACCACACTGTTCTTTTCATGCCAAAGTCCATTCTAAGCAAGTATCTGCTATTGTAAGTTTTCAAAGTTTCAAATAAATATAATCTTCTTCACTCATTCACGGGGTGGCTCTCAAATTATAAATGGAGACCTGAAGATTGGTTCTCACTGCAGGGAAGCTAAGCAAGAATGTCCTCTTTTGGTTAAATAGATGTAAAATATTTTTACCAGGCTATTAGAGTGGAAAAGGGGGTGGGGTGGGCTATACATACCCAGTGTCATTGTCTTGTTCTGCTCTGAGCATGGCAAACCATTGCTGTTTGTAAACACAGGACAGCCACTCTAAAATGTAAGAAATCAAAGTGGTCTTTAAAGTCGGGGCCATGACAGGTGAAGCAGCACTTACAACTTTTTAACTGCAAACATATGCAGCATTAATAACACTATGTAACAAAATTTGAAAAAAGTGTTCCTGGTTTGAAAGTGTGATTTCCTGTTTAATTGTCTGGTACTTACTTTGAAAGTAGTTGTTCTACTTCAGAAACTTTGTTTTTGTGGCTGCCATTTTTAACCTTTCAAGTCCCACAACAACAAAACAAAGTTTTGGCAGTTTAATCAACTTTTCCCATGTTTTATGATACACTCAATTAGGAAATGACATTGATAACCCAGGAACAAAAAAGTGTTTTATAGTGCAATAGGAACAAAAGATATGTGGCCAGAATTCAAAGTGCCGTCCTGATGGATCCAATTGTTTTGGCTAGAATAGGTCGGTCTCCTTTCCCTGCTTGACACCCGCCTCCCAAAAAACCTTCCACAAAGAGTTGGAATCTGGAAGATTTCTGAAAGCACAGAAGAGTGTCATAGGAGAGGAAGAAAGTTCCAACTCTGCTCTGGTCAGATATCAACATCTGCCACTGGATCTTGGTCATAATTGGAGCTCAGCTCCAATTATTTTCACGATTCCCTGCACTTGTGGGGCGAGCCAAATCCCCAAAGCTAGTTAGCAGAAGCACAAGGGATGCTGCACTAAATTGGAGAAATATTCAGTGTCCAGTCTGCCAAACTGGGCTTGAAGAAGATATCTACGGAGACTCCGCTTTGATTGCATGTGACAACTGGAGGTTGAGGGCCACGCAGACGGGGGAGGGACGAGGAGAAGAACTGCTCCGCTCTTACCTGCAGGTATCAGGTTGTCCCTCTCAACAATCCGTGCAGATGCCAGGTCGCTGACAATGTACTGCAGCCTTAGGTGCCGGAACACTGTCCAAAATGCACTGCCTTGTTCGGTTTCCAAGAATGAAATGCCATCCTCAAACTCTGCAATGTCATAATGAACCAGAATGAGTTCAGTGAATATATTTGACACACTACATGGAGCCCCCAGTGGCGCAGCAGGTTAAACTGCTGAGATGCTGAAGTTGCTAACCAAAAGGTTGCCAGTTTGAGTCTGGGGAGTGGGGTGAACTCCTGCTGTTAAGCCCAGCTCCTGCCAACTTACAACAACAAAACTTTATTTATATACCGCTCTAGCTCCCCGAGGGGACTGAGAGCAGTTTCCAAGTAACATCATCAATACATACAGAGTAAACAACATAAACATAAAATTAACAAAACAATACAAGCATAAAAAATCACAATAGCACATATATATTTAAAATAATCCTGCCTTTTCAAAGCAATTTAAAAAGGCGGGGCCGAGGCTAGTGCAATTTCTAGAGGGCCCGAAAAATTAGGTGAAATGCTATAGCAGGCAACAAGAGTAATAGGTATAGTCTATGGCTATAATAAAAATCTACAGAGACACTCGCAGGTATAGTCTATCATGGGGTGTCTGCGCCCTACACCACTGGAGAAATTACACTGTTTAGCCGGTATTGCATCACCTGACATCTGCTGGGAAGTAGCAGCCAATAGTGAAAGGACCAAGGCAGTGACATCTCCAGCTCATCCCGTTTGAGTATCAGCCAGCACGTCAACGACTTAAATCAAGAAATAGTTTTCCAAGATCTACAGAGACACTCGCTAGAACATCTCAGCAAGCGAGAGTCCAAAAGTGGCAGGCTCAAACCCAGCACCTCAATCAATGGTTGATACCAAATGAGAGACTCCCCCCTGGGCACACAGAAGACTGGGTGACTTGGAAGGCGCTGAACAGACTGTGCTCTGGCACCACAAGATGCAGAGCCAACCTTAAGAAATGGGGCTACAAAGTGGAATCCTCGACATGCGAGTGTGGAGAAGAGCAAACCACTGACCACCTGCTGCAATGCAAAGTGAGCCCTGCCACATGCACAATGGAGGACCTTCTTGCAGCAACACCAGAAGCACTCCAAGTGGCCAGATACTGGTCAAAGAACATTTAATTAACTACCAAGCTTGCAAACTTTGTGTTTTGTTTTTTTATGTGTTAAAAATGCAATACAAATGTTTGGTTTGCTCCTGACACGATAAATAGTTATGGCTGTTCATTTCCTGGGCCTAATAGGAGGAAGTGACCTGGATAAGTCGTAGAAAAAGATACGGCCATATTCAACAATATCTGGGGCTGAGTTAGAACTAATCGTTCTCAAAGGCTTGTTTAAACCACCAGGTCTTTGAGTTCTTATGAAAGGAGGGGAGGGATGGGACCTGTCTTATTTCTCTAGGAAGGGCATTCCAGAGGCGGGGAACCACCACCGAGAAGGCCCTTTCTCTCATCCCCACCAACTGTCCTTGTGACAGTGGTGGGAGCAAGAGGAGGGTCTCCCCGGAAGATCTTAAAGTTCACGCTGGTTCATAGAGGGAGATGCAATCGCGAAGATAGATGGGGCCCAAACCAAGCACTTCGAAAACATGCAAACACGGTGGGAAAGCAACGGTGCTCCATGCAGTCATGTCAGCCACATGACCTTGGAGGTGCTTATGGACAACGCTGGCTCTTCAGCCTAGAAATGGAGATGAGCACCAACCCCCAGAATCGGGCACAACTAGACTTAATGTCAGGGCAAACCTCTTATGGTTCTGGATGTCAGAACCATAAGTCCTTTTGAACCCTAAGTGTTTTTTGGGTGTTTTTTTTTTTTTGCACTGAGAAATTGAGAGACATGGATGATTAAACAGCAGGAACTGTCAGGAACTACCAGTCTCTTTTAATGTCATTAGGTTCCAATTTGGCTATGTAAATATTCAGGCTCTTGGCTACTCAAAGACAAACTAATGAGAAGCAGAAACCAAAACAGAGAAGCACAAAGTGATGTATTACGTGATGGGAAAGCTTCTTTATACATATGGAGCAGCCTGCTAATAAAGCATGCAAAGAACAGGGGGAACGTGAGATTTTCCAACGGAATAAATACCTTTTCTGCGCTTAGAAAACCAAGCATCTGCTTCACTTAGGAGTTGTTTTAGTGATCCATTCCAAGAAGGCACCAGCTGAAGGAACATCCACTAGTTTGAAACAAGAAAGCTGTGAGCTTAACGTATCTATCAGAGAAACTGAGTAAGACAAACACAAATGTGCAGTTTTTACTAGTAAGGACCATAAAGTGATGACTATACTGGCAAATTCTGGGGCAGACAGGCATTATAGGAATTGACTACTAGATTAGATTTGGTCTGCATCAATAGTTTGGGGCTCTCGCGTTAGTACCTTCTTGAGTGCAGTGTAGACATCCATCTCCACTTGCATGACAAATAGGTTAGAGGAACTGATCAGCTGTCTCATGAGGCTTATGCTGGAACCCAAGAAAATATGGCATGAGAAAAGAACCACTGGAAGGTGTATTCTGTTACACTAAACATTATTCTCATACAATTTTTTTACTTCCCATGTTTGTGCTTTTTCTATCTCGGGAAAATTGTTCCTTGTGCCGCTCCTAATATATATTTTACAATATCTGCCCATTCTTTATTCCCACTTCCATTTTCTGAGTGAAAAATTGTTGTTTTTAAAAAATTCAGCTCTAATTTTTGCCCAAATATTTCCTCCATCTCACCCTTTATTTTTTATAAGTATTTTGTACCTCGTCACAGTCCCACCACATACATAAAAGGGTTCCTCACCACATTTATGCCAACATTGTTTGGATGTGCTTTTTGTAAGATGACCTAATTGGTGTGGAGTTCATAGAATCATAGAGTTGGAAGAGACTTCATGGGCCATCTAGTCCAGCCCCCTGCCAAGAAGCAGGAATATTGCATTGAAAGCACCCCTGACAGATGGCCATACAGCCTCTGTTTAAAAGCCTCCAAAGAAGTTCTTCCTAATGTTCATATCTCCTCTCAGCCTTCTCTTCTTCAGGCTAAACATGCCCAGCTCTTTAAGCCGCTCCTCATAGGGCTTGTTCTCCAGACCCTTGATCATTTTAGTCGCCCTCCTCTGGACACATTCCAGCTTGTCAATTTCTCTCTTGAATTGTGGTGCCCAGAATTGGACACAATATTCCAGGTGTGGTCTAACCAAAGCGGAATAGAGGGGTAGCATTACTTCCCTAGATCTAGACACTATGCTCCTATTGATGCAGGTCAAAATCCCATTGGCCTGCATCAATAGGAGAATACTATTTTGTCAATATTTGCCACTGTGTTTCCTTAATAGTTAAGTACTTATTTTTTTAATTGAATTTATCCAGTTCAATGTCCTTCTCATTACTGTACAATTCTTCTTTCCATACTTCAATCAGTATGTTTCAAGTAATATTGTTTTTTTTTTACAATTTTCCTACATATAAAGTCACATTCCTTTCTCTTTCTCTATTTTTCATTTTAAGATTTGGTCTTGATCTGTTTCTGGGCATTCCTTTCTCTTCCAATCAAGATTTAGTATTTTGTTGTTTCTTCGTTCAGTCGCTTCCGACTCTTTGTGGCCACCCGAACCAGCTCAGGCCAGAGCTTCCTGTGGGTCGTGGCCACTCCCAGATCCTTCAAAGTCAAACCAGCCCCTTCAAGGATCCCATCTATCCATCTTGCCCTTGGTTGGCACCTCTTCCTTTTTCCTCCCATTTTCCCCAGCATAATTGTCTTTCTCCAAGGTTTCCTGTCTTCTCATTATGTGGCCAAATCACTTTATCTTTGCCTCTCATATCCTTCCTCCAGTGAGCAGCCAGGCTTTATTTCCTGGAGGATGGACTGGTTGGATCTTCTCGCAGTCCAAGCCATTCTCTGAATTTTCCTCCAGCACCACATTTTAAAAGTGTCTCTCTTCATTCACCCAGCCTTCTTTATGGTCCAGCTCTTGCATCCAGAGGTTACCACAGGGAATACCATTGCTTTAACTATGTGGACCTTCGTTGCCAGTGTGATGTCTCTACTCTTCACTATTTTGTCAAGATTGGTCATTGCTCTCCTCCCAAGAAGTAAGCGTCTCCTGATTTCCTGGCTGCACTCTGCGTCTGCACTCATCTTTGCATCTAGCAATAAACCCTGTCACTGCCTCCACGTTTTCTCCCTCGATTTGTCAGTTCTTAATCAGTCTGGTTGCCATCATATGGGGTTTTTTGATGTTGAACTGCACCCCAGCTTTTGCCCTTTCTTCTTTCACCTCGGTCATAAGGCTCAACTCCTCCTCACTTTCAGTCATCAAAGTGGTATCATCTGCATATCTAAGGTTGTTAATGTTTCTTCCAGCATTTTTTACCCCCACCTTGCATTCGTCATGCCCCGCACGTCACATGATGTGTTCTGCATACAAGTTGAATAGGTTGGGTGACAGTAGACAACCCTGCCGTACGCCTTTCCCAATCTTGAACCAGTCTGTTGTTCCGTGGTCAGTTCTTACAGTTGCTACTTGGTCATTACACAGATTCCTCAGGAGACAGACAAGGTGGCTTGATCTCCCCATACATAGCACCAACAACTTGCCACAATTTATTATGATCCACACAGACCAAAGGCTTTAGAATAGTCAATAAAACAGAAATAGATGTTTTTTCCTGAAATTTCCTTCCAGATATTGGCAATTTGGTCTTTTGTTCCTTTGCCTTTTCTAAACCCAGCTTGTATATCTGGCAACTCTCGCTCCATGTCTTGCTGGAGTCTACCTGGCAGGATCTTGAGGATTTAGCATAGCCCCATAGAAATTAAAGCTGTGTCACTGAATAGTCATATTTAGCTCCAATGATTACAAAAGAATCTCTCTAATCATGTATACACCTAGTTATCCAACACAGAGTCACTCCCAGAGAACCAAAATCTCCGTACCTGAGTTCTTTGAAGAGTTCTATGCTTTGGTGGGTCATCAGGTTGTTCAAAAGCCATTCCAGACACCTAGGTTCAAAATAAATCATTATTTTCAAAGGGCACAGAAAAAAAATCTGCCGAAGATCAACTTTGCAGATCTGTCCTTGAACCAATATTTTCCAAAATGGTACAGTCATGCAAAAGTATTATGTCTAGTAAAGAACCATGCCATTTGCTCCCTCACCACCAGAGTAATTACATTATTATTGCCCACTTTTTCTCTCTAAAAAAAGACATGCAAAGCAGCTGACAGTAAAACCAACGGGAGACAATTTAAAAATCAAAAACATACAAACATTAAAATAGAATAAAATATTATCAGTATTAAAAACAAACAGTTAAAACCCTTAAGCAAGAGACCATCGGGGCAAAACATTTTCAAGACACCCAGGCTCTTCTCCTTACATATAGTTTGTTGTTGTGCATATGCTATATGGGGATACTGACCGTTTCTTCAAGGACTCTAATCCATATGTCCCTGCAGAATTATAATAACTGCAGACAGTTTTCGAATTGATGGTTTCCTTCATGGTCTCTCCACACTGCTGCATTAAGCCGTCCTGTCAATACAAAGGCATACAGAACACATCAGAACAGAACAAAATGCTAGCTATAATTTGCTGTTCATGTTGATCTCCAGTGGAACCACTTGTTACCTACATAGTTTCTACTTGCCTAGAAGTGATTGGATATGTCTCCAGTCGGCAGATTAAATACCATTTATTTATGCTATGAGGAGCACCGAGAAGAGATTTGTTCTTTGAGCCATAGAACAAGAGTGGACAAACTTGCTGTTTTTGGAGTTTATAGGCCCACACAGCCATATAACCCAGAATATCAAAGCAGACAATCCCACAATATCTGCTTTGAACTGGGGGCCCTTCCACACAGGCCCTATATCCCAGGATCCGATCCCAGGTTTTCTGCTTTTAATTTGATTATATGAGAACACACTGCCAGACAATCTGGGAAAAACAGAAAACCTGAGATCAGAACTATGGAAAACACAACAAACACCTACCATAGAAAGATGGATTTTAAAAGTAATGGATATCATGAATATGGATCTACTAACACAAAGACTAGAGAAAAGATAAATACATATGTACATACACATACACATACACACACACACATGATTTAAAAGAAATATAAAATCTAAATTAATTTTTTTTTAAAATATATAAATATAAATAAAACAGCAAACTAAACAAAAGAAGACTCCCCGGCTGGAAGAGACCTGAAAGTACAACTATATTCTTCGGCTTTTTTTCTCTTCTTTTATTTTTTCTTATTTTTCTCCCCCCCCCACCTTTTTTTTCTCTCTCTCTCCTTTCTTCCCCCTTTTTTCTCTTTCCCTCTTCTCTCACTTTCCTACTTTCCCAATTACATTGTTCACCTACTTTCCATGTAAACGAATACCCTATGCCATTCTTTTTTCCTATCTTTTTCCTTTTTTTGGAATCGTTTCTGGAATCTTTTATTCTCAATAAAAATAATTTTAAAAAAAGAAAACCTGGGATCAGATCCTGGGATATAGGGCCTGTCTGGAAGCGCCGTAAGTTATACTAGTTCATATTGCCATATACTCCAGTTCAAAGCACAAAATGTGGGGTTTTATTCAGCTGTGTGGAAGGGCCCCCCGATTATCTGGTAGTGCAGACTCATATCATCCAGTTTAAAGAAGAAAAACTGGGATTGGATTCTGGGATAAAGGGCCTGTGTGGAAGGGCCCTCAATCCCCCCTTCTCAATTCACAAACTGAATGGGCTTTCGTTAAAGATGGGTTGTTGTGCCCACTTACCAACTGCAGCATGCTGGCCGCAGCCAGGAGAGCAATGACTCGGCTTGGATTGATCAGAACTTCATCTCGATAAAGTGAACCAAATGCCACCTGCAAAGCTAAAAAAGAAACGACCCATCAGGGCTGCAAAAGTACAGGGAGATAAGCTTTTTAGAGAGTCCACGAGTTTTTATAAGTTAGTGTGTCCTACTCAAATTAATGGGTTTCTTTTACATATGATGAAGCCTGCATCTAACCTAATGAGTGACACAACATTTTTAAAAATGATCTCGTTACCGCTTTCATCACAAGTACGTATGACGGAGATGAGAGACAGAGCCTTCTCGGCAGTGGCCCCTTGGTTGTGGAACGCCCTCCCTATAGATATTAGATCAGCCACCTCCCTTTTAACATTCCAGAAAAAAGTCAAGTCATGGCTTTTTGAACAAGCATTTCCAAATGCAGAGTAATTGACATAGGAAAATGGAACGACGACAATGAGACCGGGCGTTTTTAACAAGGTAACACTGTGAATTTATATTTTATTGATATGTTTAATTTTTATTATATGTTATATTTTTAATTGTATTTATGATATTGTAAGCATTGAATTTTACCCTGTTAACCGCCTTGAGTCGCCTATGGGCTGAGAATGGCGGTATACAAATACAGCAAATAAATATTTATTTTTTATTGATTTATTTACAGTATTTATATACTGCTTTTCTCACCCCTAGGGGGACTCAAAGCGGTTTACACATAGATATTGGCAAAAATTCAATTCCTTACAACTACAATAGGAAAACCACACTATAAACAAAAAACATATTAAAAACAGTGTTGTTGTTGTTCATTCGTTCAGTCGTCTCCGACTCTTCGTGACCTCATGGACCAGCCCACGCCAGAGCTCCCTGTGGGCCGTTACCACCCCCAGCTCCCTCAAGGTCAGTCCAGTCACTTCAAGGATGCCATCCATCCATCTTGCCCTTGGTCGGCCCCTCTTCCTTTTGCCTTCCACTTTCCCCAGCATAATTGTCTTCTCTAGGGTTTCCTGTCTCCTCATGATGTGGCCAAAGTACTTCAACTTTGTCTCTAGTATCTTTCCCTCCAGTGAGCAGTCGGGCTTTATTTCCTGGAGGATGGACTGGTTGGATCTTCTCGCAGTCCAAGGCACTCTCAGCACTTTCCTCCAACACCACAGTTCAAAAGCAACGATCTTCCTTCGCTCAGCCTTCCCTAAGGTCCAGCTCTCACATCCGTAGGTGACTACAGGGAATACCATGGCTTTGACTAGGCGGATTTTTGTTGCCAATGTGATGTCTCTACTCTTCACTATTTTATCAAGATTGGTCATTGCTCTCCTCCCAAGAAGTAAGCGTTTCCTGATTTCCTGGCTGCAGTCTGCGTCTGCAGTAATCTTTGCACCTAGAAATACAAAGTCTGTCACGGCCTCCACGTTTTCTCCCTCTATTTCCAGTTGTCAATCATTCTTGTTGCCATAATCTTGGTTTTTTTGACGTTTAGCTGCAACCCGGCTTTTGCGTTTTCTTCTTTCACCTTGATTAGAAGGCTCCTCAGCTCCTCCTCGCTTTCGGCCATCAG